ACAATGGGCCTAGGAATTCAATAGAACATACGATTCGAAAGCGCATAATATTAACTTTCACGTCTTTTTCGATTACACAACTGGAAAAACTTGCTTTTTATGTCCGTGGACTCTCAATAGTTATACAAGAATGAGGCATCGAAAGAAAGCGTATTGAACAGAGATTCCAGAAATACAATTATCAGATCGTGACAAATTCTAGTTTTTGTACAAGGGGCCTAGGAATTCAATAGAACATTAGATTCGAAACCGCATAATATTAACTTTCACGTCTTTTTCGATTACACAGCTGAAAAAACTTCCTTTTTATGTCCACGGATTGTCTATGTATGCAAGACTGAGGCATCGACAGAAGGCGTATTGAACGTAGATTCCAAAAATACAATTTTTTCACCGTGACAAATTCTTGCTTTTGGTACAAGTGGCCTAGAAATTCAATAGAAAATAAGATTCGAAAGCGCATGCATAATATCAACTTTCACGTCTTTTTCGATTACACAGCTGGAAAAACTTGATTTTATGTCCACGGACTGCATGTCTAGTTATAAAAGAATGAGGCATCGACAGAAAGCCTATTGAACGTAGATTCCAAAAATGCTATTTTCAGACCGTGGCAAATTCTAGTTTTTGGTACAAGGGACCTAGCAGTTCAATAGAACATAAGATTGGAAAGCGCATAATATTAACTTTCACGTCTTTTTCGATTACACAGCTGGAAAAACTTGCTTTATATGTCCACGGACTGCCTAGTTATACAAGAATGAGACAGCGACAGAAAGCCCATTGAACCGGTAGATTCCAAAAATGAAATTTTCAGACCGTGACAAATTCTAGTTTTTGCTACAGGAGCCTTGAAATTCAATGGAACATAAGGTTCGAAACAACATAATATTAACTTTCACGTTTTTTTCCATTAAACAGCTGGAAATACCTGCATTTTCCTTCCACGGACAAATCTTGTGATGCACGAGTAAGACATCGACAGAAAGCCTGTTGATGGTAGATTCCAAAAATACAATTGTCAGGCTGGCCCAAATTCCAGTCTCTGCTACAGGAGCCTTGAAATTCAATAGGACATAAGGTTCGAAACGGCATAATATTAACTTTCACGTCTTTTTCGATTACACAGCTGGAAAAACCAGAATTTTAGTTCCACGGACAAATCTTGTGATGCACAAGTAAGGCATCGACAGAAAGCCTATCGATCATAGATTCAACCAGACTGAGGATAGAATCAACCAGACTGAGGAGGGTTTTCGCAAGGACAAATGGAAAGCCACTATGAGGTTTTTCCAGTATTATTACTAGAACATGATTTATCCCTACCAGGTCGCCCTACTTCAATTCATCGCGGACAACGTAATTTAAATAATATTATTCAAATTAACATTAATAAAACTGTTATTTCCAATGCTAATGACTATTTCTACGTTCCGAAACTACTATTGACAAATACGATGTCATTAGCTCCCAAAATTGATGAAGTGAGTTGTTTTGTCACAGAAAAGAGTCCTGACCTTGCCTGTATAACGGAAACATGGCTAAACGACCGTATCTCAGATTCCTGCCTCGATATTCCAGGTTACAATTTTGTTCATAAAAACCGTAGTGTGGGCTCCCACGGAGGGGTTGGGGTGTACATCAGGAACACGATATTTTATAAGCCTCTGAATCATCTCCACCATACAGATTACGAAGTTCTGTGGGTCTATTTTCGTCCAAGCAGACTTCCTCGCGGGTTTTCCTGCTTGATACTTGGTGTCGTTTACCATCCACCTAATGCTAATGATGATGAAATGCTCCAATTTCTCTCCACATCACTGATTACTATTGAAAGCACCTATCCTGGCTGTGGGTTTATTCTTGCAGGTGACTTTAATCGGTTAAAATGCAATCGGATATTAACACAGTTCAGTTGCAAACAGATTGTTAACGTTTCCACAAGGGCCAACCAGACTTTGGATTTAATAATAACCAACTTACATTCGTTTTATGATAAGAACTCTGTCGAAAAATTTCCGCCATTTGGTCTTTCAGATCATAATGTTGTGATTGTCAATCCTTGCAAAAGAGAACCCAAGTCATGCAGTAGAAGAATTATCTCTAGGAGAGATTTACGATCTAGTAAAAGGCATGAGCTTGGAAGATACCTTACATCTATCAATTGGTCCTCTCTGAATCATTTTGACACATGCGAAATGAAACTCCAGTATTTTGAAGAGTTAGTACGTCTCGGTATTAGCACCATTATGCCAATAAAGAAAACGGCTTTGCATGTACACGATCCTCCATGGATTACTGCAGAATTTAAAGAGCTTATAAGGAAGCGTCAAGCTGCCTTCTGCAGTGGAAATACCTTTCAGTTCAAGTATTACCGGAATCGGGTTAACCGCGAGCGAAAGACATACCGGGCGAAATTCTACTCTTCAAAAGTAAAGAATCTTAAATCGACCAAACCGAAGAGATGGTGGAAGGAGGTGAAGCAGATTGCTGGTATGGTACCTACAACCGGCTCCGATGACCTATGTAGTCAACTTCATTTAGACGATATCGAGAATATGCAACGTCCTGACATTGCGAATTTAATTAATAACGCCTTTTTGGAGCCCATGAACAACTTCAATCCACTGTCAACCCTTCCCCCCTTTGATAATTATTCCTCTTTTCAAGTAAACGAACTGGAAGTCTTTCATTTATTGAAAGCAATTAATCGTGGAAAGGCGTCAGGTCCTGACGAAATCCCCAATTGGGCTCTTAAGGAATATGCTGAAATCCTCGCACAGCCAGTATGCGCTGTGCTAAACAGCAGCTATGCCGAACAACAACTACCTAAATCTTGGAAGCTTGCCAACATTGTGCCCCTCATAAAAACTAAGCCCGTTAGCGACATTTGTAAGCAGTTACGACCAATTTCACTTACTGCCGCTATTTCGAAAATCGGTGAGGACTGTGTTGTTAAAAAATACATTGCTCCAGCTATCATGAGTATAATCGATCCAAGTCAATATGGAGTAATACCAAGAAGTTCAACTACTCTCGCTGTTATATCTATGATCCATGAATGGTCGCAAGCTACGGATGGCACTGGCTCTGCTGTCAGAGTCATCCTGTTCGATTATAGAAAAGCATTCGACCTTATCGATCATGCTTTACTGGCTGATAAAATTTCCAATTTAGCTATTCCACGTGCGGTTGCTCGCTGGACAATCGATTTTTTGATGAATCGAAAGCAGAGAGGGAAATTATCCAATGACTGTTATTCGGAGTGGGGTGATGTACTCTCCGGTATCCCTCAAGGTACAAAATTAGGGCCCTGGCTATTTTGTTTAATGATAAACGATCTTGATATTTGTGATATATCGAGGTGGAAGTTTGTTGATGACACAACAGTTGCTGAAGTAGTTAGTAAGGACACAGAGAGCCGTGTTCAAGTCGCAGTTGATATTGTGGAAGATTGGTCGAAGGCAAATGGGCTATCTCTTAACGCTGCGAAATGTAAAGAACTGAGAATCGATTTTAAAAAAATTAAACAACCTTTTGATCCTGTACTGGTGGGTGGAGAAGCATTGCCTATAGTTGAGAGTGCAAAAATATTGGGTCTTGTTATGACAGGCACACTTCAGTGGAAAGATAACATCAGAGAGAATATAAAGAAAGCTAATAAACGCCTCTATTTTATAGTATTATTGAAACGGGCAGGCGTAAATGTCAAAGATGTTTTGAACTTTTATTGTACAGTGATCAGGCCTGTGCTCGAGTATTGTGCGCAAGCCTTCCATCATTCCATCCCAAAGTATTTGGCAGACGAACTTGAGACTGTCCAGAAACGTGTGCTAAAAATTTTATCTCCTGAAATGACATATTGTGAGGCCCTTGAGTATTATAGACTGACTACTCTATTTCAAAGAAGAGAGGACATGTGTGACAAACTCTTTACGAGTATCATCAAGGATCCAATGCATAAACTTCATCATCTGCTGCCCCCGAAGAACGAGACTGATTATTCTTTCAGGACGAATCGGTATTTTAATATGTACAGTACGTTACACGCACGAACCGCTTTTATAACTCTTTCATCCCTGCTATGTGTAGGAAGTTTGTAGGATAGATTTTATGCTTATTTTAATCGAATTTTGATTGTGGGTTGGTTTTATAATATTGTATTAATAATATATTTATATGTAGTGCATGTGATAATATGTAATCCACGCAATTCAGCTTCTGACTGCAATGTGGTTTCAATTTAATAATAATAATAATAATAATAATAAAAATAACCATCCAACAAGGATGTTACTGGAAATCCTTACAAGGCACTGTGCACGTTCATGTCAAGTAAATTCACCGCCATATGCGCCGAGACCAATTCTTTCCTGGGGATTGTAAGCCCCTGCTTCGCGAGTCTTGCTTTCGCACAAACGAGACTTTGATTTACTTGAGATTCTTGAGTGACCACAGCATACACCGCTGCACCTACCCCATGACCACTCGCATCACCAAAGGTGTGAAGTGTTATGTCCTGAATGGGTTCTTGAGCAAGTGGTATAGATCTTAGAGCCTTGACTTGAAGAGAGATGTGGTTTTCCCACTTTCGCCAACGTTTAGTCAATTCGTCAGGCAGTTCTGAGTCCCACTTACACTTTTACTCACAAGCTTCTCTGTACAGAAGTATAGGTTATTTTGAGGCAACGAGAGGATATGTGAATTATTCACCGAGGCGCGCAGCGCCGAGGTGAATAAACACATATCCCCGAGGTGCCTCAAAATAACGTACTTATTTTTCACATTGCGAGGTCGCGTTGATGAATCAGATATAAATAATTCTTAATGCCATATTGCCTTCGTGATGTTGTTTTTTCTCATTTTTTGTGCTGCAAAGACATTGCAGGTGAATATTAGAGGGGATTATGAAACGGAAATTGATTAGAGGGGAATATTGAATATATTCCCCGATAAGAACATTAACAAAAAAAACCGAGCAGGGTGAAAAATAAGCTTACCTTGTAGGACTGTGGGAGCTATGAGGCCAAGTGGATCATAGATTCGAGCTACTTTACCAAGAATACCTCTTTTGGTGGGAGCTACTTCGTCAGAGGGAATAGTAACCTCAATTGTGCCTGCTTTTTTATCCCGTTTCAAACCAAGGAGGTTGCCTGCTTTCGATTCGTTGCCCAATTGTTGTTTTGCAAAACTTGTGTCATCACTACTGTCCGATGTTCGATTTGACATTTGATTGCCACTTGTGTAAATGGAATGATGCTTCTTTAAATATTTCGACTGAGGCTTCCTTTTTCTCACGCACTTCTTCCACTGAAGTCCCTCCGATTACCAAGTCATCGACATACAATTCTTTCTCTATTTCTTCAGCATGCTTAGGGTACTTCTCTTTACTCGCATTCAAATGACATTGTAATACTCCTGCCAACAGGAATGGTGATGGTCCCATGCCGAACAGTGCTCAAGTGAATCTCAAAGGGCAAATACGCTGGGGATCTTTATCTTCCAACCAGTGAAATCTCGTTGCATAGAACACAGTTCCAGTTGGTTGCTCATTTGCAGGTTCAACAACTCCTTCTTCCAGTTGATCTTGAATAATTGAATTGTATTCATCGAATTTATCCGTTTTCTTCAATCGCTGCACCAAGGTCCCAAACGTTTCAAACTGTTCTCCTCATTTGAGAGCAAAGGCGGATGGCCTCATTTCCAAGGGAGGCCAGTCTCATACCACCCATGTACAGGATCACGCCGAAGCTGTTCCAAAAACTCTTCATGTACAACTTTCTGGTCTCCAGATGGTGTGTCTTGAATACCAAGAACATCCATGCGACAAAGTTCCTCATAATCAGATTGTGCAGTTTGAGCAAGAAACATATTGTCTAAATTGGGCTGAACTCCTGGCGACATAATTGGCCAGCCAAACTGAGTGAACTCCGCCACAGGGTTCCCACTTCACCGGTTCTTTGTGGTTCACTGGTCTTGATCTTTGAATATTCTGCTGATGATATGTTTTTTCTTGCAGTGAAAACAGGTAACTCGACTTCGTCAAACGAGACTGTGCTGCATGGTGTCTGCCACACGTACAATTAAAACATATCTTCCTTGCTGGTAACTTTCGTTTACGCTCAGTTGGTATAGCAACTTTCTTACATTGATACGCTGTTCATCATCACAGTAAACGCAACCCTTTGGTGTTGAGGAATCCTTTGGTGTTGAGGAAGAACGAGTGGTTGCGGTTGTATGGGGGGCCTAGGGTTATGTTCGGTTGAACTTTCCACCGCGTGTATTGCTTTCCAATTTTCCAGAGCTTTTAATAAATCAGCAAATCCCTAATCTTGCCATCCAACCTGATTTGTGACCAACTCTGCCTTAATACCAGTTAATTTCTCTATAACACCCCGTACAATGGACAAACTCTGGGATAGTTTACCCAATGTTTCTAACGATTGTAACTCAGGTTCTTAATAAATTCATGTATCTTGTTTACTTTCCTGCCAGTCATTGTAGGCAGCTCTTGTGGAGGTGCCACGTGTACGTTGTAAATAGTTTGAATCACTCAATAAAAGGTTTAAAACTTCTAATAATTCTCACTTAAGGTTACAGGACACCCTTTTTGGCGTTTTGTTGAAAATCCCTACTGCTCAAAATCAGTCCGATTTTCATAAACTTTTCACCAAATGTTTGCCAGTGCGTGGAAAATATGGTAAAGTTGTAAAATTGACAAACAATAAAATAATGTAAGAATTATTCAGGAAAATCTTAAAATCAGGAAATTATTCGGGAAAATCTACCTTTACGCTTTTGAGTTGTGTTCCTGCTGGTTTTAAGATATATTTATGAAAATATCATTTTTATACAGTAGCAAGCTGTTGAGAGTGGACTGCAAAAGGATATGTGGAGGCGGGGGGGGGAGGAGGAGGGCAATTCAAAACAGATTTCTTGTGATAACCCATACGTATTTTTGTCAGTTAATGTTGGTAGGCGCTGTAGTTCCCACACCCGGTTGCTACGACTTCCTCATTCCATGCAAGCTTTTAGGGAGGGTGCACAGAGAAATTGGAAATATCCGCACAATTAACTATAAACTACGCAATGGTTTATTTTCCAAATTTGAACTGTATCAAACATCAGTTGAAAAACAAGGTGGTTGTTGGGGGGAGGGGGGGGGCGGTGGGTTAGGGAGAAAACATTTTCGGACATACCATTTTTCACGAACTTACCGAAATTTGTGACAGGTTAGACCAACCCCAACCGTCCCTCGCTACGGCCCGGAACGAAAAACAACATGAAAATTAATGCCTATTGCATCTCATTAAAGAAATAAACTACAGCTAATTCAAAAAAGGTTGTGCATTGCAAACATTGAACTCTAGACCTTAAACCTTAAACTCTAAGCGTGCAAAGCATAATGGGACCATCATTTAATCAGTCACAATCGAGTACGTCATCTTCCAAGTATATTGTGGATTCACTCGTGTTCCATTGGTGTTCACTCCTGTTCACTTGTACGTGTTCCATTCGTGTTCACTCGTGTTCCATTCGTGTTCACTCGTGTTCATTCGTGTTCACTCGTGTTCACTTGTGTTCACTCGTGTTCTGACTCGTGTGGAGTTTTAGATCAGATCTACCACGAACAAAATAAAATTGATTCTTGCGGGAATTTTGATATTGGGCATGGCAAGGCATGGCATGGCATGGCATGGCATGGCAGTGCAGTGCAGTAGCAATTTCTTGAGGGTGGACTGCACAAGGACGTGGGGGCGAGGAGGGGGGGGGGGGAGACGATTCAAAACGGGTTTTTGTCAATCAATGTTGGTAGGCGTTGTTGTTCCCACACTCGGTTGCTACGACCTCTCCATTCGTGCAGGCTTTCAGGACGTTGCAGCGCCTTTAGGGTGCGCAGAGAAATTGGATATATCACAACTAACTATGCAATGGTTTATTTTTCAAATTTGAACTGTATCAAACATATATTCCTCCCCCAAAACAAAGAAGTTAACAACACGTGTTAATATAGCAAGTGTCGTGGCACTCCCGTTGGTGGAAGTTCTAAGATATGAAGCGAGCGAAATAGTATAACCGTGCAGTTCTTATTTTCAAAAGGCTAGACAGAAAACATGCACTTCGTTGTCAAGAGTAAATTAAATAAAAAAACAAGAAAATGAATGCTTATTGAATCTCTACGATTAAAATATACCATTTTTATCCGTTCAACAACAATCTCGTGCCCATACCTTGCGGTTCTTATGTTCGACGAGTGCTTTTGGTAGTTTAGTACGTCATCTTGCAAGTATATATTGTTGATATGATCTTATCATATTTCACTCATGTTCCATTTGTGTTCACAGTCGTGTTCCATTAGTGTTCACTCGTGTGGAGGTTTAGATCAGATCGTTGGGTACATAGTTCATAGAGTATTAATTAAAGTTATCACAGAATGTATTTGTTCTGTATTTTTATAATTCACTTAAAAATTCGATAAAATTGATCTATTTTCGGTATTTTGGTGTCATATAAAACAAATAATGAATGTTTTCATTCGTGCAATAGTAAAAATATTTTTATTCGGTGAAAGATGAAATTTTCCATTCCACTCGGCTGTCGCCTCATTTCCACCATTGCACTCATAAACATTCATTATTTTTATACTATATGATATGCACATGCAGTATATAGTTATTAAATTCAACAGCTATAGCACCTCATCTGAAGTACAAAAATTACGTTTTTAAGAAGCAGAATATCTGTCAAACTGGAGCAGTGAGCTCGTATATAATATATCTGGAGTATAAGAACACTCGTGAAAAAAGTGAAGTCAGAAATAGCTGAAATTGGCACTGTATTCCAGTTCCTTATAGTTAGAACTTATCTGCGATTTTAACACAAAGCTGCAAGGAGTGCGAATTATGTTTCTTGTTTTAAAGAATGGTTTTATAAATTAAAAATAAATTAGGTTTCGTAATTAGCGATACAATCCAACATTTTTTAGTCTTTTTGGCAAACAGTGGGAAATGACTAGCCTGCATGCTTTGCGCGCACTGTTTGCCTGCGAATTGGGCCTTTCAGAACCGGAAATCAGGCTGGAGCACGCGTTCGTTCTTTTGATTTAGCAATAAAAGAAGCACGTCAAATGGCAAAATTCGTGCGCTGCTCGTTTGCAAAAACAACTGCATGCAAAATGCTCTAATTCATTCTGTTACTTTCATTTTATCTCATCCGTGAGTCGTATTAACAAGTAGTTTTCAGACTTAAATCATGAGAAGTACGTCATCTATCCCATCTGGATCTCTTGACCATAACACTGGTTCGATTCAAACACAATCAATTGGGACTGGATCTTTTTAAATTTTCCTTTATTTCAATCCAATACAACACTCTTACAATCAAGCTTACAATCTCTTCACAATCTGAAACCCGATTCCTCATCTACACAAACAACGCGCTTATTTTAAAATTACGAATATGAAGTAATAACGTTATAATTTTCATAATGGTTCAATGTTTGTTCTTGTCAAAGATTCATTGTTTTTATTAACTGGTTTTACAAAAACGCAACTAAATATAGATTAAATATGACACTATCAGAATATTCATGAAAATAAATTCCAAACAATCAAATTCTTCCTTAATGTTTCCAAAACTTATAAAAGTCAATGTAATTAAACTTAGGGGGTCGCATGCAAACATGTCACTGCATAAACGGTATCCCAAAAAGAGCTTCCAAAGCATCGATGAACTGCTTCAACTGTTCCCAATCTTCAGATCGGAATGTGTATAGCTTGCCTTTGGTGTTCAACATACATGTAAGAAAATCAATGTAAGACTTGCTGGCATGGTGCTTGCGAACTGCATCAACGTGTCTGCCAGGAAGAATGTTGCTCAATTCTTAAAGGTAAAATTGATATTAATATAAATTAGAAACGTACATTACTCAATTTAATAAACTAAATGTTTTATCATTTATGCACGGTGTATCTACTTGAAGGGTGGTTGTTTAATTAAATTGGGGAGGAGGGGGTGATAGCCTGTCAATGTTTAGAAACCGCAGTTTTGTGGACGTTATTTTTTTAATTAAGTACTCGATAATTTATCGGGCAAAATATGTTGAGTGAAAGCAACAGACAAACCTCGAAGACTAAATCAGGAAATTTAAAACTGATTTCCAAATCTAATATACATCATTTTATGACCATCAGAATTCTGTGCGACCCCAAATTTCATGAAACCTTTCTGGAGGCATGCTCTCCTAATACCATCTATGGGTCTTGCGCACACGATACTTGTGCCAACCGTTCTACCCCAGGTACCTGCCCCCGCCCAAATACTTTGGAAACCCATGGGGATTTGGGCAAATGCTGGGAAATGTTGGGCAGATTTATCAGTAATTATGTCAAATTCGGGTTATTTCATTTCAATCTTCCGAAAAATTCCTCGGGCAAACTTTCAACTGCCTCCCCGGAAAGCATTCGTACGCCTATGGTTATTTTTTGAATTTGTAAGCAAAGTAAATAAATGAGGTCAACTGAGTTGATTAATCCAGATTAACCCGGAGGACATACAATAAAATAAGCCCCCTAGATAAGCTTACTAGCTGCCCAATGGTTACTGAAATTTATTCGTACTCCTTTACCTTTGACAAAAATCTTGTGTGTATTTCGACGTACAAGCGATTCATATTCAAAACTAAATACTGTTTCTTCGGAATCTAACCATAGAGTACCTTTCACCAGTTTTGAGGAACCTAGATGTGGATTAGAGAAATTGACTGATTACAGTGTTGTCGGAATTTAATAGACTTAATTACTTCAGAATCTTTGAACGATGCTATTAATGTTATGACGGAGCAATGGACACCACAACCTAAGACGGCAGCATCGTTCAAAGAATCTGTGCCTTCACTGAATGAATAGCGCAATTAATGGTTTCAATAATGGTCCAGAATAGCGTTCTCTTAATATTCATTATAATATAGCATTTGTAAATTCTGAACGCTGATTGGCTAAGAGCCGTGTTGATATAACTCAATGTCAACACGGGAAATTTTCCGCCGCTTGTAAACACGGAAATTTTTCTTATCCTTCAGGCTTTTGACATTGCCATATTATAAAAAAAATATAAAACATTTTTCCGTATTGATATATAGTTATATCAACACTCGTGGAAGTTGGGAAAACTCGAAATTGTATGAAAACACTCCGCCCTTCGGGCGTCTTGTTTCCATACAATTTCTCGTTTTCCCAATTCCACTCGTGTTGATATAACTGTATATCAACACGGAAAATGTTTTATATTTGTTAAATATTACTGAATCCTGCGTGCAGGAGAAAGCTATTGTAGGCTTTCTGCACCGGAATCGCAGAGCCTCAGGTTAGATTCCTGCCATGCCCTATAGTTGCATTTTTCGCAGCTGTTCCTCGTTAGGTCTAAATCTAATAAATCTATAATAATCTCGATATTTCCATCTACAAGACCCTTCAACTATTATTGAATCGAGTGAGTTGCCAACAAAATCTCGACATTTCTTAAATAGCCATGAAATGCCGAACAATTTCAGTAAAGCCGTTAAACTGTCAAACTGAATACCCCTTCACCAGCATCCTTACGAGCGTTGTTTTTTTTAAACAATAATTACATCATATTTGTTAAATCCTGAAAGCTGACCGTATTTACTCGCTTAAGCGCCGTCTCCTAATAAACACTGCTCTGGATTAAGTGCCGCCCTCGAATAAGCGCCGCACTTACTTAAAAAAACGCGGCACTTAATCGAAGCACCTTCGGAGAGAATTGTTGGATCTTGAATCAGTCTCAGAAACTGAACCTAGCTCCCATATTGCTTTTAAGTTCAAAGATTGTTTATTCCAGTCCTCTCTTATTCAATCATCTCTCCACAACTGTGGAAAAACGAATTCCGTTGTGAAGGCAGAATGAAATAATTTCGAAATCCCTCAAACGATCTCGCACCGCATTTGAAACCCAGAAAATTTAAAGAGCGTCCCAGCACTTCAACGAGTAAATATGGTATACATACAAAATGAGTGCTTTGGTTCACGAAATCATATAGTGTAGTATTTTACCTGAAAAAGGATACAGCCTGTTTTATCCACCAGGAGCAACCGGATAATTCCTTTTGAGGTAAAAATCCAGTATGCATACAAAATCCGGTATATATTGTAAACGTTGAAAATATTGAAGATTTGACACTTGCTCTGATAACAATTTATTCAATGATGTCCCATTGATTGCATACAAAATTCATCCGCGCCTGCCCCAGGGATGTCAATTTTTATTATACCTTCTGTTGATGAGTTTTGATAACTGTAACGCGTCGGTAAATGCTATAGTCAGCGTCAATGTTTATCCTTTTGGGAGAAATGTTTAAGAAAACAAAAAACCCTTTTTATTTATATTTCACCATACATGTATAATTGCTACGCGTTAGAATAGGTTGATCATAGTTTGTTACAAGATACTGCTGTGGTATTGCCCACAGCGGCATTTCTTTGCAATATATAATAGCAATATATTCCCCTTACTTGGATTTGACAGCATCCAGATGTCCAAGCCTTGCTTGAGAGACTCCACCAACCGTTCTTGAGGCCTTGATCTCACTGCCTGGAGATTAAATGTTGAAAATGCTGACTGATACTTCATTGCTGCTGTTGTCATCATTATGGATCCGCAAATCTTGCCACGAGTCTCGTCACGCAGTTCTATATGATTTCCCGAAACATAGAGAATATCCATTCTCTCAACTAACGATTCCCAAATTCCTGTTTTCCATAGGGCAAACGAGTTGGTCTCATCACAGCATATGTATGTTATTGTTTCTTCATAACATATCTGTTGAGAAATATGAATAAACTGTTTTATTGTTCTTTTTAAATTAAAGTATGACATGTCAGACCTGGACACATGTTTAATGGTCTTCAAAATCGATCAGGAACTTGGAATGTTCCTCACCAGAGGCTTTCCTGGTCTGGAACTTGCTCATTTTCCTATAGTAGTAGTTCGACTGGTGCAATTAAAAATGCTGTTGAAGTTATAATAGCGAGAGCCTTCATATCGTTTTTCTCCAATAGCTGATCTTTATCGCTGACATTCGCGTACAAGACAGAGGGTAGGGTGGTACCGGACAATTGACCCTACAATTTCAAAAATCAAAGCAATTCGAGGAAATGCTAGCTGGAACAAGTTCAAGAATATTTAGGAAAACATATGAGAAATGGGCTTAAATCCAGTTCATTTGATCACAATTTTAAAACTCGGTCAAATTTTAGAGTGACACAAAAATGGTCTCGTACGTTTATAATCATGGTGTGCATTAAGCTCAGTTAGCTGATTTCGAAACTCTAAGTAACTTAATTGGTGTCTTAAAGAAGAGACTATGCTATACCTTAGAAGGTTCCCAAGCAACGTAAGCCTTAGCTGCTGATTTCAGCTCATATAAAACCGTGTCAACTTTTTCTTTCAAAGGAAAAATCTGGTTCTCTTGAGCAGCTCGATGCTCCAAAGCGGTTATCACTTCTTCACTGTCTCCTAATTTCTCCTCGTACAAACTATCCACCTCATTTCGTGTTACACCAAGTCCAACAAAAGCCATTTTTTCGACTAGTTGCCTTGTCTGCAAATGAAAAAATTATGACGAAATCTTTATTTGCAAATACAAAATTAATACAATTATTATCTGTCAAAGTTTAATATGCATGAGGCTAGTTAAACCCGGCTATCTGATTGGTTTATCAGAATAAAAAGTATCAAATAAGGCAAAGGTGCCTGCACATTTTCGCATCTGTGGCTGTTCTTCAAGTATTCAATCAATCAATCAATCAATCATTTTTTTATTTAGCACCATAATTTTAATTATATTATTCACATTCAACATTCAGATCCTGAATTAGATGCAAGCTAGCAGCAGTAACCATTAGGTTAGTCGAGGCAGCTAGCTGTTCATCCTTACTGTTCATATAAGATGTAAAATACAAAACAATTGTAACTCCGTTTATGAACTTATCAGATGGTTCGTTTTTTAAGCCATTTACAACTTTCGTAGTTCGTGCTTTATCAGATATAAAACACTCGAGCTGTACCCTCGTATTTTATATCTGATAAAGCAACTCCTGCTCGTGTTTTAATACTACTCAGTTTTTTAGGGGGTTTTGTTCGATGGTTAAGATTAGGTTTTGTCCACTTTTGAATAGAAGTAGTGACCATGCTAAATTGTCAGCTCTATCAATTATTTTATAGTTATAAAGAAGAAGCTCAGATAATATACAATTATTGGACGAGGTTGGGCAAAATATTGTGATTTGTCAGTGGCCAGCAGATCAATTGTTTACCGATGCGGAAGGCAGACGCAAATAATTGATCTACGAGCCACTGATAAATCACGATATTTAATTTGCGATAACCGAGTTCAATAATTGTTTTATCATTTACTTATTCATTTTCGAAATTTTGTGGCCGTCACGAAGTTCAACAAATCTGTACAATATCAATATCTGAAAATTTAATTGTTGTAGATTATAACTTTATATACGCAATATGATAAAAATCACAACAATATTGATAACACAACCTTTTTTCTGTTCCACATAAAACTTTTGTTCTGTAATAATTTTAGCATTCCTGATGATGTTATACTCAAATCAAAATAAAAGTTTAAAAAATAATTCTTTGGCCAAGTAATTGTAAAACTAAACGTTGTCTAAGCTGAGAAAATCAAAGCTAAATTTTATGTAAATGAACATGATTTTTATCACATATAAAACTACCCACACGGCAGTGATTTCTTTTGTATTTTCCTCATGAATTATTAATCCTCAATTATTCCTCATGAGTTTTTTGATAATATTTAACTAATTACCTTATATAGGCATTCTCATATTTCTTCACATATAAAGCCTATGTTCTGTAATAATTTAAGCATTCCTAAGCGAAACGGTAACTGGTCGTTTCGTCCCCTTGCCGTTTCGTCCCCTTCACGTTTCGTCCCCAGACTAGATACTGTTTTATCTGTATAACCTACTTCTTTAACACAATATATCTTACTTTTTGAGATTGTATCTCAGTGGATTGTATGCCTGGATAATACACATTTTTTTATTTAAATTCCGAAACTTTGAAATGTAACTTAAATATTTGGCTTTTATTTCACAATATTAATATTGCTGTTGTCAGTGACTATTATAGTGACACTTGACATTATTTTAATTGGAACTGAGTCTGAAGAAAACTAGACCAATGACAGAATGACTGCCATTAGTGAGCTTAAGATCGCAATGTTTTTGTCAACACGGACGTCAGTTCGTCGAGTGGGACTGGATTAAAAACTGTGTTTTTGTCAGTTTGTGGTAATCTTCAACACATATGAAAAAACCTATGATTTTTAAAGTTTTTTGCTTCCTTAGACGAGCGCTATGATGCAAAATGCCGTCAATATTAGTCCTACCAATTTTCGGGTGACGTCCGTGTTGGGGACGAAACGACCATAAAGCATCGAAACGTAGACATAAATAATTTTGAAAATGTTTACCGGAGTTACCATTGTTTTGTATTTTGCAAAAATAGTGGTAAGAAGATTGAAACAAGCCATAATGCAGCCAGGTAACTGTATATTTACCACACTCTTTTCCAATGATTTCAAGTTCTGTTCTATGCACGTTGTAATGTATTCAGTACAGTTTGTCAAGGCTTTAGGAAACCACGCGTATGTATCCACCATGAACACCATCGCGACTGTTTCATTATATTCTCTTTTTAATTCACTTGCCATTTCGTAGGCTACCATACCGCCGAAGGAGTAGCCCGCTACAAAAAGAAGACCAGACTACATTATTAAAATAGAACTAGTTTTATATTATTCTGACATTGCAGAGTGCAACGAAAAATTCGCACATAATTTTGTATCCGTTATAGTATCAGAATATATGAAACCAGTTTTTTCATATCTCTGAGGATCCTTCTGGAATACATTGTTGGGAAATAAGGTATCATATTGTTGACTATGCTGAAAAAATAAAAATGGCGGCTGCGTAAACACGGAGTGATAGCTTATACTTGTAAATCTTGAAATATTTCGGTTGTTTCGGCACTTTTTATTGAAATTTTTAAGCATAATCAACAATATGATACCTTACTTCCCGTCATCCCCTGCGCGCATAAATTAAAAGCTGGAATTGCCTATTGCTGGAACAATCTACAACAAGTCTGTTGAGTCCAACAGCCTTGTAGTAAGTTGTCAGCAACCGGTTGATCAACTTGTGAGCATTCTGGGAACAAGCAGTGCGAACAAATCCTGATGGGAACAAGTTGTTGAAACAGCAGTGGTACAGACTACAGAGTTATTACAAGTTGTACCACTTGTACGTTTTTATGTGTGTAGGTTTATGCAAAAATGTGGTCCTTGTTTGTCAGGTGACCACCAATAGAAGGGCCGTACGCAGTGGGGAGGACGGGTAGTAGAGACAACTGGCCCGCATAGAAAATTTTAGTTACTAATTTTATAATGTTATTATAAGTTATTAAGCCTGCAAATGGCGCTTATAATCTTGTGAATGAGAATGTATGATTCTGTATGGGGCGACCATAAGCATGCATCTAACTAGTACTTTGAGAGCATTGACATTTGGGTACTTATTTCAGCTTAATTCTTGATTAAGTCGGTTTTCTTTCATGTACCGAGGTGATAGTTTTTAATAATCACTTCGAATATTAATTAGAAACTACGAAAATAGTAGTTCAAAGCAGACGAAACAGACAAAACTTTGTTGGAAAACCTCCTCAATCAAGAATTAAATATGATAAACGTTAGACCTCGGACGCTGCGTGTCATCGGGTCATTATCTGACATAAATCCCTCCTCGGTGTTTATCCTATACATATTGGTATTACTACCGCCCCCCCCCCCCTATATTTCAAACTGATCAATTGTTCAAGTCATGGACGAATGGCTGATGCGATCAACATTTTCGCATAAACCTATCGACAAAACATGGATCACGAGTTATTTTATTTCCAGGGAGTCTCTAAACCACACATTTTATTGACTATAAAGATGAAATCAACAATGGTAATTCGATCTTTGCAGTCATGTTAGTTACTTTCAGAGCAACTATTAGATACCCACCCCCTTAGATTGTCGCTTGAATGACAACTTGTTCACAAGTTGGTAACTCAGCTGATATAATCATGTTGTAACAACTAATTTTGTGGCAAGTCTATAGTGAAAATCTAGATCTGTTACCAATTATGACTTACCGAGGTAATATGGACCACTTGACTGAATTTTTTGGATAAGATCTATATATCTTTTGGCGAGAATCAGAACAGTGCCGTACTCACTTTTCTTAAATGACGTGTCATCCACTCCAATGCCATATAATGCAATATTTGTCTGAAACAAGATACAAAATAGTAAACAGAACCACATGCAGATATTTTGCATTTACGAACATTTAACTACAGATAACTAATCAGTTCAGTCAAATGGGCTTGCCTAACTTCAGGAAGAAAGTCCAGGAAAAAACATTTTCACATTAACCTTCGTTGTCCTCCCTCGATACAAAATAGTAAACAGAACCACACACAGATAGTTTGCATTTACGAACATTTAACTACAGATAACTAATCAGTTCAGTCAAATGTTGTTATAGACGGATAGACGAGGGAGTGGCAAACTAATATCTCTGAAAATTTCTCAAAACGTTAAAAAAACAGCTGCTGTCCAGTTTCTTCGATAATATTCCATTTTTGTCTTCCGATGATGGATATCCCTCTTTGCAGGACCCCCATTTGTAAATGTAGATGTAAGAAACTCATACATTCTTTGAATAATTACAAGGTACCGCATTGTTTTTCTATAGCAAAAAAAGGCTTCAGGACAGGAATACTGATTTCTCCTGCCAATCTATGAATTCGCACCTGCCCCAATGATTACATTTCGCCAAATATCTGCTACTGGAGCAGGTTTCTGCAATGGAGGCAAATTAATTTAGACTAAGGAAGACTAGCCGGAAGATAGACGACCGGCATGAGATTGCCTACTGTACATGAAAGTTTTCAAACAACTAACTGTCTTCCTGCATAATCTTAGTGGAGCATGAATAAAAGGTTCTTGGATCTGAACGTAAATTGTTAAGAACTTAGTTAATGTAAAAGGTTCAGTTTGAATGAATATGAATTACCTGCTGCTGGAAACCAAGTGCAAATGTTGCCAATGCCAGTGCTGATTTCTGGCTGCCATGAATCATAAATACTTTCACAACTGCGTCATCTGGAGTATAGAGTGGAACAACTTTCTCTTTGTTTGTTGTAACGGTCTGAAGCTCCAGTCCATTGCTTCCTTCTGCCTCCTCTTCTTCTTCTTCTTCAATAGCATGAAATGTAGGTAAGGAAAAGGTCTTCCTTCTGTTATCTAAGGAAATGTTTTTCGTCTGGTCATCTAAGAAAAGGCTTTTCCTTTCGTTAATATCCAACACAAAACTTTTCCTTTTGTTATCTAACAAAATGCTTTTCCTTTGCTTTCTAGACAAGAAACTTTTCCTTCGGTTACCATTTCCTGAAGAGTCATCCTCATCAGAAGTCGTACTTATCTTGTCAATCTGTTCCAGGATATTATTGATAATGGTTAGACCACTCGTCTTTGGTTGAATGAAATAGTATGTCTAAATATTAAAAAATGTCAGTGTAATATAATCATTGCAGGAAGTATTAAATGCGAAGTAGTACATTTACAGTCCTTCGAGTCATTCACTGCTGAATTAAATATCTTGTTTCAATGTAACATATTAAATAATTTATTATCTTGCAAGTGTAATTTTTCTTGTAAAAACATTGTTGCTCGGCTTGCCTAACTTCAGGAAGCAAGCCCAGGAAAAAACATTTTCACATTAACCTTCTTTGTCCTCCCTCTAAAATTAACATTCGTACTAGATGACAGTTTGCTTAAGTTGTCATTCTCAAGAACAGTTGGCAGCTTTTTAACTTTATTAAACTGACAATCATCACACTGATTTGCCGAGCTATTCGAAAATTCAAACTTTCGTTACAAACCTAAATTTTTATGTTAGGAACAGACAGTGTCTCTCCTTCAGTTTATCCTTAGATACATGTTTCATTGCGCACATTGCAGTAAATCTCTTGCACCAGTAACGCGCAATCAATTTTGATACCTAGGATTGCGAGAAGAGTTTGCACGTGTAACCTAGTCTTTAATATTAAACATATGTTTCTGTTTTCCTAAAGTAAAGGAAACTGCTTTGGAGGCTCGATTTTAAAAAAGATATTAAAAATACTTACTTCAAACGAGGCACCAATGTTATTTTTTATTTGAAGTTTCATATTTGTTGCGGCAATTGAATCAATTCCATATTTGTGTAGTCCAACATTTAAGTCGAGTTCAGCGACATCAGCTCCAGACCAGGAAGACAGCAAACGTTTAATAAATTCTTGAACGTAATTCACTCTGAACTCTATCGGTTGTAGTGCAAGGTCTTCCAGTGTCATAACTTTGTTCTCTTCAGTGACTACCAGTGTTTCTTCTCGGATCATTTGCAGTCTTGGAGAAGCATGATTCTGGAGGTAGACGTGCCAATTCATGGGAGATAGGCAAACTTGAGCTTCGTTGGTATTCTCGAGTAAGACCCGTTTTAGAAATTCAATTGCTAAAATGAAAATGCATTATTTTCAATTTTCTTCATACTGCGTGTACATTATTTGAAGAGAAGAGTAGCGTGATCCCTTATATGACCATTTGAGTTTTCTGTGTTGTGAACGGGCGAAGTTCAAGCGAGTAAATACGTATACACAACACAAACAACGACTCAATGAGTGACTATACAACCGCACTACCCCTATTTCTGTTTATTACACGCGACAATCCACTTGTATCACATTCTGAAAAATTTCCACAAGACGTTATTGCAACGATTTATAATTAATATTCGGATGATATTTTTACTATACTGTAAAAAAGGTATGACTTACACTGTATATACGCGTACGTATTGCAATATACATAATGCTGTTTTTTATACTCTTTTGCAGCTGTTCTTGTTTTTCCAAACTTTCCGTCTAATATTAGTATTATATTACGAATATGAGGTTGGATAACTTTTTATTTTTAATCTCGGAGAGAAATAGGAGGCAAAAACTGTAAAGTCGTCGGTTCGTATTGCTCACTGGCTTGTTCTCTGACCATCACAATAATTTCTGACATATATATGCGCTTGACATTATGGATTTTGCTTTCTCTTCGTTATCGTGTTCAATGAACATTTTCAATAATAAAACCTCCATACGCCTTGTTCAAGGTAGGACTGGTGAAATTAAACAAAACGAGGTGTGTTTTCAGATATTATAATTTTGTCACATATAAAACAGCACAGGCCGCTGGCCTGCAGTACACGTATCGCGCTTGTTCTCTATATCGCCTCTTCTGATTGTCTCAGTTTCAATTCTCTTTACTTCGCAGTGTTTGGTTATATTTTCACATGTAAGGAATAGTGTAACAAGTCGTTGTTTGAAGGTACAGTGATTTTTCAGATATGAGAAGTATAAAAATACACGCACGTTTACACACTGAAATTTTTTTAATGCGATTCAGTTGTAATTCATACATAATAATAAAAACGATAATGATAATTATAAATACAGTAGATTGTGTGGTTTTGATACATCTATTCGTAGACTCGTATTTACCTGTTGTGTAGTGTAGAGCATAGAATCCATTTGTTTCAAGAATTGATGTTATGTCTGTATTCCTCTCGAGCACTCCAGCACCACTGATTGGTCCCCAGTTCACAGACAGCGCTGGCAGGCCAAGTTTGTGTCGACGATATTCACATAGTTGGTCCATAAATGAGTTAGCAGCTGCGTAAGCAACTTGACCAATATTACCAAGAACACCAGATACTGAGGAGAACATAACGAAGAAATCGAGATCCATCGATAGACTGAGTTGATGAAGGATAACACTTCCTAAGACAAAGCGTCAAATTATAATAAAACATTCAATTTCTTGTTTTAGCAGTTGGAACGATTGGTGGTATATTTTATGCTTAGATTAATTTTCTGGGAAAAGATAAGCCATTGAATAACGAATAATACTTATTTCATCACAAGAGATCGTGTTAGGAATTTGTACGTTGCAACAGTATGCTAAAAAGGTTAACGAACAGTATCATTACAGGAGCTGTTTAGTGGAGCTGAAAATTATTAACAGTACTGGTGGCCTGACCACGGAACTGCAGAAACTTGACATGAATTAGAAGTCAAATATTTCTTTTTATACCGGCAGAAAACATACCTTTTACTTTTGTCTCCACAACCTTTTTGCATGTTTTCAAGTCGGCGTCTTTGAGTAACTGATCTGCCAAAACCATGGCGGTGAAAACAATTCCAGCTACAGCAGGCAAACGGTCCAGTTCCTCCTTAATTACATTCATTTTTTTCCAAGATGTAACATCTGCCTGTCTCAGAAGAATCTGCGATCCAGTATCCTGTTCCAAGCGTTGAACGTCAGCTTTCTTTTCCTCACTTGGTGCTGAACGAGCTGTACACATGACTGTTTTTGCACCATTTTCAACCATCCATTTGGCGATTTCGAATCCAAAACCACGAACACCGCCAATTACAAGATATGTGCGGTCATCTTTCAAACCGTTTGTGTCAAACGGTAAACTGTAGAAATCCGCTTTATCAGGAGTGTCCTTGGGCCTCAAAGAAACTACGTACAAGCGAATTTCCTTCCCTCTTTCCAAATAAGAAGCTCTCTTCTTGGATTCACTGTTCATGACATCATATATACTGGATACTAGTTGAGGAATATTCAGAAGTCTTTCCATAAGTCCTCTTGATTTCAAAGCAGAACAACACGAACCCAATAACTTCGAAAAGTCCTTCGAATTGTCAGTGATATTTTCCAAATTGGTCATAATACAATGGACATCTTTGCCGTGAATAAACGGGTTAAATTTGACATTTTCTTCTCCATATACAGAAATCACACTAGCGCCTGGTTTAAGGTGTTTCACAATTTGACGAGTGATATATGTACCGTTCTTGCTGAGAAGGCAAACCGCATCCAAATTCATGGAACTGACCTCATTCATTTCCGTTCTTGTTATTTCGTCTTCAGTTAAAACCACTATGTTTCCAAATTTCTTAATTCGATCTTGACTGGATCGATCTTTGACAAGGCACACGACTTTTATATCTAAAGATATGGCAACGCATGCGAAGACGCAGCACACTTCTTCGCTTTGGTGATAGATAAGGACTTTCTTTCCTTGCATGTTGTTAAGAAGATTGATAAGAATATGGTAGGACATTGCCAGTGGAAAACCAAGCGAAGCAGCTTGCAGAGCAGTGATGTTATCTTTTATCTCTGTGAAACAGCATTTCTCTTCATCAACATAACTCCCGAGGTCATCAATTTTACAAACGCCAACCACGAAGCAATTTTGTTGTTCTTTGCACCCATTGCAGTATTTTCCTGCAAAGGCAACGCGATCATTCGTTTTAAGGTCTAGCCAAGGTTTCTGAAGAATTGGACAGGCGAAGTAGATTTCAATTTTTATTTTCTCTTTCATCCGCTGGTTGGATGTTTTCTGTAAAAACCACTGGTCTGACATGTTTGTCATCTTGAAAGGCTTTCGTGCTCCATCTTTCGTTGTGGGAGATTCCTGTTTGGTAAATATCCTTCCGTCCAAATGCAACTTCCTAAAGCGATTAACGTAACGTATTCCATCTCTATAGACAGTTTCTTCTTCCATCGTTGCTTTTCTCACGTCCTCTACCATAGTATAGAAATCGTCTTCGCTAGGATTGTTTGGCAAATCAACCACAGACGCATTTGGTGCAGTTATTTCTTCTGAGAAAGTTCTCCTGAATCCAAACACAGAAGCAGACCACGGGAAAGCACCTGAACTGACAATGGTAGGATAACGATCGGGTTGAGGAATTGTAACTACTCCTGAAGTGACAAAAACGAGCTTAATAATTTTGGTAAAAGCTTCTCTTTTTATAATTTCTTGCGAAATGGAGAGACAACTTTCAAAAGCAAGCTCGTGAGTTGCATCGAAGTTGTGCGTATCAGCATTGAATTTGCTCCCATCTACTGGCCAGAAATTGATCAACAGTAACTTTCCGTCGCCCTCTATTTTGCTCAATGCTTCATCTAGTACTTCAGAAAATACGTCACGTGTTTTATCTGAGGTATCTTGTATGTCAACAAAATGGACACTTTCACCAGCTGGAACATTCTGAGAAAACCGCTCAGCAAACTTGCTTTGATCTCTAAGAATAAGCCAAACGTTATCTTGACTCACTGTCGGAGTTTCAGACGTTAATTGCTCCCAACCAAAAGTGAATGATGTGTCCTCGAAAGTCACTTTGGTTTTATCTGCTGAAATTTCTGCCGTGATGAACTTTTCAATAATCATCACTGGTCTGGCGTAACGATCCATCAAGGTGATGTTGTAGGTTGGTGTTTTCTCTGATTCTACGATCTTTGTGTGGGCATAAAACTGTTCTAGGCATGTGGGTCGTTGCAATATCGTGACATGTGTGATCTTCTGTGGCACAAATTTCCCTTCCAGACTTTTGAGGAGAATCATTGTCTGGAAACACGCATCAATTACTGAAGGATGTATAACGTAAGCTGATGCTTCTTTAATGATCTCTTCAGTTGGACATATGAGAGCAAGCGCTTCAGTGCCATTCGACCACGCGTCTGTTATTAAATCAAACTGAGGACCAAATGCGAAACCTACGTTTTCACGTTCCTTTACAATATCATCTTTCGACCATTTAGTCATTGCGGATTTAAAAACTTCAAGATCGTTAGGGTTTCTTTGGGATGATTCTAAATTAAAAAACGTAAATAAGAATAAAACAGTCTGTTCGGACTGCTGCAAACAAGTGTAAACGTTTTCACAATGCACTATTTATATCAATGCACTACTTATACACAGACTGGTTTCGACGGTTCGCTGATGACGGCTATATATTTCATGACTACACAGCGGATAGTTTGCTGGACAGAAATTCGATCCTTGTCATTAGTCTGTTCCTAATCTCACCCTTAAGTCAACTCCTCCTCTTAACAATTACCAACAATGAACGTTTTGTTGCCTGACTTGCATCCCTTTTGAACATTTATCTGATACGTGCCCATTGGCGGAAATCTTGGTGGGGCGGGGGGCGACCCCCCCCCCCTTCACGAAAAATGACGAATTTTCGGAAATTTCGACCTCAAAGAGGGGGACAGGGAGGTTGTCGGAAATTTGAAAGTTTTGTCGGAAATTTAGGAGGCTTTGCCCACCGCAAAAAGTGAATTTCCGCCACTGAATGTGTCCCGCACTTAGTGGAGTAAACTTTTAATATATGTCTAGAGAATGCGAGAATAATAACACCGTATCAAGAATGACACAGTATCCAACTACAGTCTATCAACTACATTCGATAATTTAAATTTTCCTTCTTACCTTTGCTTCCATAGCCATCATTAACCCCTAATTGTATGGAGCCTTCAGACACAACTACTTCATTGTCGTCGTCTAGATCTTTCACAATTGTAATCTGAAATTGATTTCCTTCACCAGCACACTCTTCGGGCAGAAGACGCGTTCTAATTCTATGCGAGTCGTTGTTGGATGTAGTCAACAGATTCTTGAAGCTAATGTTGTGTATATCAGGTGCCGTGTTTGGAGACAAATCCACAGACATTGCCAATATCATCTCTACGTAAACAGCTCCTGGTATCACAGGATCCGGAGATTCAGCAAATTTGTGATCGTTGATATATGAAACATTGTGCAAATTGATTTCAGATTCCCAAGCGTGCAAACCAGTGAACGTTTCAGTTGGAACAGATTTTCCAAGTAGAGGATGGGAAGTAACGATTCTCTTATTTCGTTCGGTTTTGTGGTCATCGAGGAATGTAACAAACTCTGACGGATGCTCATCACGGTACCAAAACTCCGTTTCTTGCCATGGGTAAGTTGGACGCGGAAAAAATGATTTCGATCCGGAACCTTGCACTTTATTCCAGGATAGTGGGACACCATTTGTGAATAAATGAGCGACACAATTTTGAAGAAACGACAAATGCTGTTGATTGGCTGAGCGTTTTGGCAGAGTTTGAACCACAACGGCATCATTTGCGCTGAGGGATTTTGGTTCTCGGTTGTGAGACCAGGTCTGGCGAACATGGTATGAAAGCTGAGGAGTAGCGTTGATTTCAATGAAGAACTGATATCCATCAGAAAACATAGTTTTCAAGGCATGCTCTAGTAAAACAGCTTGTCGGATGTTTTTCCACCAATGCTTGAGGTCAAGATGCTGGCTGGATAATTGGGTACCTGTAACTGTTGAGTAAAATGGTATATTACTTGATGTTTGACGTACGTTGAATTCACTTGTGAGTTTGAAGTAAGGCTGCTCTATTTCTTCCATCTCTCGACTGTGATATGCTCGTGTTGTAGTAAGTTTCCTCCAGAACACATCCCCTCGCGCGCTTTTCACATGGTTTTCAACGGCCTCCATCGAAGCTTTACCACCAGCTAACACCACGTTACCAGGACTATTGACGACCGCAACATCAACTTCGTTTTCTAACTGAAGAGCTTGCAACATACTTCGTGCATCCTCTTCTGAAAGCCCAATGGCAGCCATACAACCTGTTGGTGAGCATTGTTCGTGAAGTTGAGATCGAAATAAAATCAATTGCAACGCTTTATGTAAACGCAATACACCAGATGCCCAGGCTGCTGATATTTCTCCAAGACTGTGGCCAACAACAGCAGACGGTGTAACACCCCAAGATTCCAATAATTCTGTTAAAGCAAAATGTATGGCAAATAAGGCTGTCTGTCCGATTGGGTTTTCGTGAAGGCGGGAAGATTCTTCGGGCTTGTTAAGCTCAGTAATTAAGGACCATGACGCTTTGTACCGTTTAAGGAGAGCATCAATCTTTTCAATGCTTTCCTTAAACTTTGGCTCATGTACTAACATCTCTCTTGCCATTCCATACCACTGAGCTCCTTGACCACCATACAAGAACACAACTTTATTGCGCGTTTTTGTTACGTCACCAGTAGCCACTAATTCTTCCCATCCTTTCTCTTGATCGGCAAACTTTTCTAAAGCCTTTGCTGCATCTTCAAACGAGGAAAAGCTGACCGCTAAACGATGAGAATGCACGGTGTATCTCTCATTCAGGGAATAGCAAATATTATCCTTAAGAAGTTCGTCATCATCTAGTTTTGCTTTAAACGACTGTGATACTTTCCTGGCCATTGCTCTTAAGGCATCTTTTGAAGCAGCTGATAACGTCATAACTCTGTTAGATATACTTCTATTCGGGATAACATTTACAGGGTTCTTGGTTACCTCTCTGACGATAATGTGAGCATTAGCACCACCAAAGCCATATGAAGAGACCGCAGCTGTTCTTGGTGTTCCACCTTCGGTATTCCAAGGTTGATTACAAACTTGTACCATCATTCTTCTTTCAGACATTTTAAGCTGCGGCTTCACTTCACTCACGTTAATAGTCGGAACAAACTGACCATATTTTATCATCAGACATGTCTTGATTAACCCAGCCAAACCTGCAGTTGATTCAGTATGGTTTATGTTTGACTTCACTGATCCTAGACGAAGTATTCTCTTACTGCTATTGCCATAAACGGTTGCCAATGATCCCATTTCAACAACATCACCTACGGCTGTTCCAGTACCATGTGCTTCAACATATTGTATGTCGTCCTTACAAAACCCAGATTCTTGAAGGACTCTTTGAAACAAAATGGATTGGGTTACTTCACTAGGCGCTGTCATTGGAATTGCTGTTTGTCCATCGTTATTTACACCACAGGCCACAACTGCTGCATAAATATCATCTCGATCATCTAAGGCTGTTTTGGTTGGTTTGATCACAACCGCAGCTACACCTTCACCTCGACCATATCCATCTCCTTTTATATCGAAGCTCTTACAACGACCGTCTTGGGCTAACAATCCAGTCCTGCAGCATGCTGTATGGAACTTGTTACCCAATAGAAGAATATTTGCTGCGCACACAATGGCTACGTCACATTCACCAGTTTGTAGGTGTCCGAACGCAACGTCAAAAGCCACTAAGGATGATGAACACGCTGTATCCAGCGTCAGACTGGGACCGGTTAAATCCAACGAGAATGAAATGCGGTTGGCGAGAACGGACATTGCACATCCAGTGGAGGAAAACTGATCAATTTTTCGAATATTGGACGAATCTAAAACAAGTGAACCATATTCTAAGTTCATTAATCCAACATAAACACCTGTTCGACATTGCTGTAAATCTTCAAGACGCATTCCAGCATCTTCAATTGCCTCGTAAACAACTTGAAGAAGTATTCGTTGTTGTGGATCCATTGAGCGACATTCTGTTGGGGATATTCCGAAAAATTGAGCATCAAATCCAGTAATGTTTTCAAGAAAGGCCCCAGCAAGGACGTAGTGTTTTCCCGGAGTGTTTTTTCCAGAACTGAAAGAATCAAAAAATTCTTTTGAATTTGGTCTGTTTGTAGGATAAGACCCAATACCACATCGTCCATTCGCTAACATGTCCCAAAATTCATCTTTTGAGTTCGCACCGCCAGGAAACCGACAACCGATTCCAACGATAGCAACAGGAATGGAATTTTTAGCTTTTGCGACATATTCAGATGAGTTTGTGCTTGTAGTTTCATAGGACTTCTGTTTTCTTACACGCTTGAACCATTTTATTATAATTGAGTCAATGTTCATTTCACGGAAGTCAAATACCTTTCCGAGAAGTGTTAAGTACACAGGTAATATAGCCAAGCCATGAACCAAACCAAGAACTACTATACCAACAAACATCTTGAAAAATGTTCGGAATATTGTAGAGGAAGCAAATCCTGTTGGCATCATTCCAAGGAAAGTACTTAACCCTCCGAGAAAAACACTACCGCCAATTTTGCCTAGTGCGTCAATGACCCGAAACTCAGGAGAGCCAGCCTTGGAGGATACGAAATGATAAGCGATGTGTGCGTTGTAATCAACAGAAAATCCTAAAGCCATAACAAGATTTATCATGGAAAGTGAGTTCACTGAGACATTCCATATGTACATTAGTCCGAGTAGTTCAAGTATAAGAGCAAGAAATCCACACAGTAGACATATTATTATTACAAAATGATTTAGGAACATGGATGATATCAGAAGAATTGAAATTCCAGCAACAATTAAGTTTCTGATAGTTTCGTTAAGCACATGAGCATACTGTTCAAAGTAGATAAAAGGTAGGGCAACAGCAAATGCATCGATATCTGTGAAACGAGAGAGATCTTCTCTTATGCTGACCATCATATCTCTTTGAAAGATCGAGTCAGGGCTGCTCTTGGAATACAGCAAAATCCTTGAAGCTGTCAAATGAGTTTTATTTTCAGAAAATTTCAAATCTTGGGCAAACCTTCTGTATTTTGGCAAGGAAATAAAATCTGACAAAGTTTTGTAGAAGATTCTGGTATCATTTATGTCAATGTTCTTTTCCTTTGCCCACGTTTGATATTCTGACAACCAAGATATCCTTGCTGAAAGAAAGTGGCCATTACTTTTAGCAAGACTCTTAACAGTGGAATACATTTTCTGAATTTCTTGGCTTGAGTGATCCACTTGTCCAGGGAAGATGATATTTACTTCGATATTAAGATGAAAGTTTTCTTCATAAACGTTCAGGAATTTTCGGTAGTGTGAATCTTCAGTTGTTAACAATTGCCTGTTGAAACTTTCGTCTATATTGAGAGCGCCGTAAATACCACCTGACAGGAGTAGTAAGGAACACAGACAGACTAAAACTTTCCCTGGAGAGGAAGTTATTACCTTCCCCCAAGCGCGCATTACGTTGTCAAATCCATTGGCCCGAATACCAGAACAGCAGTCCGTGGGAGGAGGACTCATCAAACAAGGCACGAAATCTCGACGTTGAGCGTTGATTCTTTTGATATCAAACCACATGCAACCAACGAAAAACGTCACCAGCATAAAAAATGCAGACCAAATCGCCAGCGCTGCGTATGTACAAAACAAACGAATCGCGGGAAAGATAGAACGACAGCTAACGGCGAATGCTACGAGATCAGTGAGGGTCGTCATGGTTATAGTTGGTCCACTTTTAGCCATTGTGCCACTAAGCATATACTTAGCAGGAATATTTTGATGAACCATTTCGTTCAGCTCATGAAGAATAATAAACACATCATCTATACCAATACTGACGCCAAGAATGGCAGAATACCAACCATACTAACAAAGGGAACGCCGATTAACATTAAGAAGCCAAGTGCGGCTGTGACCCCTAAATAAATAGATAACAGGGCACCAAATCCTAAAAGTTGATGTCCAAAGCGAGCATCCGCGCATCTACCGTTTATAATTCCACTGAAAATCCCCATAATTGTAAATGTCAGCGCAAAGAACTTAATATCAGACGCAGTACTTTCTGCCACTGAGTCGTCCAGGCTCCGTTCTGCTGCGTAGACAATGTTTGCACATGTAGTATTTTCTGAGAAAGATGATATTTCATTCAAAAATTTTTTTTCCCACTTTAATATGCCTTCCCTGCCCTCGTTTCCCCTCGGATATTCTTTCATAAAGTAAACAATTCTTAGGGCGTTTCTGGAATCAAGTTTTGTACCATTGGAGGCAGCTTTCGCAAAGATTTGGTTGACATTATCTTGAAGTCGTCTTCCATTTGACATAAGAAAAGAATCATTTTGGAGTATGGTGTTAATGCGCCGTGAAATATTGACCAGGTTTTTCTTTTGGTAACCGAAAATTTCCAACAAATTTATCGAGGCACAATTGCTATTTGGGTTGGGTTTAAAACAGTAATCGTCGTGAAGCTTTATTTGAGTGATAATCTTATGTAAATCAATCATTTCTGCCAAACATTCTTGCGACTGAACAGACTTGTTATATTTTGGCAAAACAATAATCTCTTCTTGTCGAAATTCAAGTTCAAAACCAAAATGTCTTGCCTTACGTATATCCTGTGATGCTTCGCTGTCTTCAGGTAGAAACAAGTATTTGACATTTTGCTCTACGTCCAACTTCACAAATCCACAGGTCAGGCCAATGGCGACGAAAAGACAAAAGAATATCACATGAAATGGGCGTTGCGAAATAAACATGGCCGATTTTTCAAAGAGCTTTTCAAGAAACACAACAAAGATTTTTTGAAACCATGCCCATTGTCGAAGACATCCAGCTCCGCAGCCGTATGGTGGTTGTTCCTTGGTAAGGTATTCGACGTCACTATTGACATGATTTCCTTTGTCCCTTGCAATTGAGAAGTGTAAAGTGTTTAACGAGTAAACTACAAGGTTATACGAAAAATAGGCAATTTTAAAATGGCCACTAAAGTTAAAACTTTGCAAAATTTGTGAACATTTTATGTGAATAAGGGCATTTTACGGTGTTTTGATTTCTCTAAAACGAGAACTACCCTTTCAAACTCATTAATAATTCATGAAGGAAATTCAAACGAAATGCATATTAATTCTGTATTTAGAAATAAGAGGAAGATTACAGCCGTTTTTCGTCAACTTTAAACTTGATTTTCTCTGAATGTATTGATTCGTTTGAGAAGTTATATCCAACACGAGTAAGTGTTCTTCCTCTGATTTCGAAATACAGGAAGAACAATTACGCCTGTATTCTAAAAGCTCGCTTATACTCACACTCGAAGAGTGGAGGTTCAATCTGAGCTTTCCTTGTGTATCAATGCCGTTTTTGATTAGCTTTAAGGTGAGTAGTCACATAGTAAGGTACGACACTAACATCCAGCTATTCAAAAACAGTACTGACACTAAAGGGAAGCTCAGGCTGAACATCCACTCTTTGAGTGTGAGTGAGCTTTTATAATACAGGCGATATTCGTGTTGGATATATACGTACTTAAAATTTAAATTTTGAGTGCAAGACTGCCATCCGTAAGAACTGTTTTAAGACTTTTTGAGTTACTGACTTCATGAATTGGCACTAATCGCAGTGATGGAATGGCAACAGTATTGAAACTAGTTTAATTATTGTTCATTGTACTCTGTTCTCATTGTCACATTGGCTAAAAGCCTGGGCATAATTATCGGTGTTTAATAATAATAATAATAATATAATAATTGGTTTAATTTAGTATAGACTGCATTGCAGTCAAAACTGAATTACACTGAATTGCAGCAAAAACTGAATTACACGCAGGTGTCCGCGACATTTTCAGCGGAAACAGTTATTTGTATCTCTAGGTTTACGGACGGAGCCCGAGATATTGTTCAATATTGATATTCTCGTGATTGTTTTGAACGGCTCTGATAATTTCTTTTTGTGCATTATTTGGAAACCTGTGTCGCCAATTTTGTGGATTTCAGTGTTTCTCAAATGTTTGTTTTAGACTATTTTGTCAGTTTCTTCGGTTGAAAAATTCTGAATAAATGGGGGGGGGGGGAGGTCGCCCAAAAAAATCTAATGTAAAAAAAAAAATTAGGTAAATTTCGAACTTTAGATCTATAGAGGTGCCCTTTGGTGTGCGTCTGCCCCCCTTTGCCTTTTTATCGTTCCGGCGTCCCTGAGTAAATCCCACTTTCCAGTACAAAAAAGAGCAAATCGCAGCCGAGTTGAGTGGAACATTCCACCTTTCACCGAATGAAAATATTCTTATCATTGCACGAATAAAAACATTCATCATTTAATTGTTTTATATAATACCAAAATAGACTAATATCAAAAGGTTTACTGTAAGCTCCCACCATTTTGAAGAATTTCCACCCATTTGCATTAAATCCCATTTACCGAGTTTCGAATATCAGGTTAAAATAAACTGCGATCATCGTACGAGAAGCATTTTGACGGATGCGATTTATCGAAAACACAAAGAGTGCAATGGAATAAAACGTATAGTACAATTGCATCGCAAAGAGTGCAATGGAACGTATTCCATTGCACTCTTAGGAAATGGAATTTTCTATTAAATATCACGTGACCATAAACACCAATTAAACAATCAGAATTCAATAGAGAATTATAACTATTTCAAACTAACACTACCCATACGCCATATAATTTGTAAATATGATGTGCTATACGGCATTTGTGATAATGCATGTAAATGTATTATTTTCGAGTGTTCGGCGTTACTTGCGTGATAAATTTTTGACGTATTTTTAAGTTTACTTTTATATTAAATATCTAACATGCGTTTTGCTCAGATTTTGAGTGGTAAATTTACGTTAAAATGTCTTTTGTTTACTTCTGCTAGTACCTATGTACATGACTACATCTCATGAAATTGACAATCTTGTCGCCAGCCGTTGATTGGCCAGATATGCTATTACCACTGATCTGAAAATATAGAACCTGGATAGAGCTTGTCACACTGATCACACCACCTGGGCACCTGACAAAACCCTGTTCGTTTATTGGCTAAAAATAGATCACCCCATTGCCAGGTCACAGTGTTTGACAGTTCACTATTAAATATTTGCGAGAGGTCCTTTTTCACTGCTGTTTTAAAGTTGTTACAATACGCCTACTACCATGCAGTAGTGCTAAGTTTACATGAATATTAATCAGTTTCTCATTTTCATTAGCGTCAGTACATGAAAAGTTACATCTTTCAATGGACCTAACAGAATATCGATGTTTCAAGAAATGTCTACTGAATACTTTACCAAATGTTATTTCATCTGACCGCTGTATTGTATATAGTATCCGCCCAGGGTTACCACATAGCCTTACTAGTAACGGTTAGCTCCATGCACGCTAGCTTCCCACAACAAGCATAATTGTGTCCCTCAAGTGATGCTAACCAGTACACTTCGAGCACGAGTGTATGCCTGAGCCGGCGTCTTGTTGAATTAAAAAACCCAATGCATGTGTTTCGACGTTTACGCCCTAGTAACATGGTAGGAATCGCTTCTGGCAAAAGAAGACTATTTTTATCCGGTCCGTAATGTTACGTCCATAACGTAAATGGAGCGTTCTGATTGGTTGACGAGAGGTCCGTATCACACGATACGGAACTCTCGCACAAATTACGGACCTCTCACGTTTCGCACCAAAACAAACCGAGGAGTGAAGACAATTTTGAAACCGAAAAAGTTATCCAAAAAGTTGAAAAATCCTCCCTACCGATACCAAAGATAGAAAAATAAGCTGAACTGATTCAATAGATTTAGTGTCAAGCCCGAAATGTGTTTTTTCCCAACCTATTAAAATGGGAAAAAACAAGTAGCTATTTCTTTGACATATATAGGTATCAAAATATCAGTGTTAAATGCTTAGTTTCAAATTCATCGGTCATTACTTATGGTGGGGGTGGCACCGAAGAGAAATTTGCTGACCCAACCATTAAAAAGTCAAAAATTTGATTACCCAACTTCAAATATCAATTAAAAATAAATACCCACCCCTGGCCAAAACCGTTACAAAAGGATACCATTCAGTTGTCACATGTGCCCTTTACCACTTCTGTGACACGACTTTGATAACGGATTGTGTAATTTGCTGCAGTCTAAAGTTTCATGTTGTCTGTACATGTACCTTCTTTGAAGACACCATTTGTCTCCGAAGAAATCGGAAAATGATCAAGATAGTGACTCTGATTGATTCACATATTGTATTCACATATGAATGTTGACATTGCTTTTCAGTCTCCAATATTTAAGTAAGTCATGCTTTTAATTGGAAATGACAATATTTTTTTATTACCCAATCCTTGACTTGTTTTGTTTTTTATTTACCCAACCGTTTATTTACTCAAAATTTAGTTTACTCAACCTTTTTCTCTTCGGTGCCACCCCCCGCCATAAATAATGACCAGTCCCTTATTAAGCTAAAATGATTAGGAAAATAAATAGTTTTAATCGCTTTACCTTGTTTTTGTCTTGTTGAGTAGAAAAGCATCTATTCCATCATTGGGAGAGCGGAGGCTTAATTTAAGAAGGGTAACATGATTCAATACTATGGAATTTATCATGAAAAATAGAATTTTGTAGGGGGGGATATAGTTTCAACCAGTTATGTCAAATACTGTAGCTAGGCAAGGGGATTTCTGCATGCTAAGAAAACTGACCAAACAGACGAAAAAGTCACATTTGTTATCCTAAACGTTTTACAGGCTTCGCGGCGATGCAGATAAATTAGAACTCAACCCAGAATTATTAATTGCCACGTGACTATTTGTGGACGATACTACGCATATTCTGATTTAAATATTGTTTACAAGTTTGATTTTTCACTACCTATATTAGCACTCAACGTTCACTCACCTTTGACTGGCAAATCCATCAATATCGTCATTCTCGCTAGCCATTCGTCTTTGGCTTGAATGAGTATTCACCCTGAAATAAATTAACAATGATTGCGGTTGCAAGCTTAGTTATTAACATCAAACGCAGAATTAGGTAAATATACTATAGATAAACGCTTATTTTAATAAAATAACCATCCTCAGAGATAGGAAAACTAGTTTCATATTAATCTGACACTGCAATCGAGCAACGAAAAATTCGTTGGCTCGAGCGGGATTTGAACTCGCATCTTCGGGTATCTAGACCGCCGCTCTACCTACTGTATTGAGCTATCGAGTCAACAGGGATTGGTAGCGAGTGTTATCCAATTTAAGTGCACGAAATATTTTCGTGACGACTTAACGCTTGTCTTGGAGGACGCGTTCTGAAATAGAATTGAAACACTGCGCGTCCTCCAAGACAAGCGTTAAGTCGTCACGAAAATATTTCGTGCACTTAAATTGGATAACACTCGCTACCAATCCCTGTTGACTCGATAGCTCAATACAGTAGGTAGAGCGGCGGTCTAGATACCCGAAGAT